GATCAGAGCATCTAGTCATATGTATGTGATTTAAATCAGGCATGGACACATGATCAAATTATTATGGAATCAGACAGACCTATTTTATGATGTAATACTGCCAGTGAGTAGGCTAGATATGCTGTGAAGCTTAACATAGTGCTTATGTAGGATTGTAAAATCTGCTAAGACCCATGGAAGTATTTCTTCTGGGCGTTTGATCAGACTGAGGATTTAACGTTCACTTCTTTGGAGGTTCATTTAAAACTGTTGTTGACTTCAGTAGGGAACAGGGCAAAGAAATACACCCTTTCTGCAGCAGCAGGTGCTTTAATGCTTCTTGTTTGAATCCTTTCTGTGACAGAGGCAGATCATGTCTTTCTGTAATTATGCTCCTCCTGTAATTCGGGATTTTAACTGCCATAATATACAACAATTTACAGTACTTAAAATTCAGAATAAAAACCTGTTAAACTGAGTTACTGGTGTTCATATTATCTTGTGCTTTTCTATGCAGGTAATTACATTTTAATCATTAAATGAAGTGCAACACTTCATACTGGCTAGAATGACTGCCATGCATTTTTAATGGTTTCTCTAAGTGTCATTAAGTGATAATTTGAAAAAATAAACAAACAACCAGCAGTATACACAACTAGTTATTAATAAAGCCTGTTCTTAATTCATTTATAAGATCAACAAAAGCTGTGATCTGAAATCTAGCAATAGATTATAACTGGGGTTTTTTACAGAAAACATCTGAATGTTTTATATTTTTTTAAAAAATCTGTCCATTCTAAATACATGCTTTCATATAAAGAGTAAAATAGCACATCTGCTTGCTATTAAAGAGTTGATGGGGAGATGCTTACCAGCATCATTTAGTGGCTTTTCTGTCCTGTGTCTAGTTGATGAAACATTTTGATTTATGTGGCTCCTGCTGTATGTCTGCAAGAAACTTCTGTTTCTCAGTGGCAAAACACAATAAAGCTTTGTAACCTGATTTCCTATGCTTGGTGTTTCTGAATCTTTGCTAGCCTACACTGAAATCATACAGTGGCAGACCTGTGACTGTTTTACCTTCTGTCTTCCCATTTCATAGCTGGGTATGGCAAGGCAGCATTGTAGTTGCAGTGTCTATAATCACTTACCAAATATCAAGGCTATATTGAAGGCAAAGATGTCCGAGGTTGCATGCAAGTGATCATAAGAGTGTGTTTTAATTTTTTTTGGTAAGGAGTGCATTACTCTGAAGACAGGAGAAATGTGGAGGTATTTTATTGCTATCTCCCCTCTCTTCAAATAATTTCTGCAATTGGTCCAAATATTGTCACAGATGATGTTATTTGAATTTATGCCATGGATATCTCTTTAAATTATATGGAAATACATAGTTTTGTGGAGATGTTTCCTGTGTACAGATACTATGCGCTTAAACTCCCTTCAATTGTTTGAAATTAGGAGTTTTCAGGATTTATTCTTCTGTAAGGCTGAGAAGTGTATTTTCCACTGCCTGTGGAGAACTACTATAGTTCTTAGAAGGCAGCACCTACTGGAAAATCAGATGGCTATCTAGTTGAGTATCCAGGCTCTCTCATGAACTGCTCAGTAAAGCCCTGTGACTTCTAGTCTGCCAAATTTATTTTTTCCCTAGTGGTGAAACTCATCAGAATAAAAGTCAAAGTTTTTTAAACTATAGACACCAGAAGTGAATTTCCTAATAGATACAAAATGTTGCTGAATCATTTCAGTGTTTTCATCCTTAGCTTCGTAAAAGCCATTTACATCAGAGATCTCACTGTTTTACAGAAAATATAATAACTGGCAGCCTTTTTTTGGTCCATAATTGCTATAATCTTAAATGGCAAAGGAAAGAAATTGAGCCAATCTGGATCAGGAACGGTGCTGTTTAGTTGGGATGCCTAAAGTTGCCCATCTGGAAGTTTAGAAGGTGGTATTGTCTTGAATCCCACAGGAGGGAGGGTTTGCCTCCAGACTCTGCAACCCATGGGCATATTGTTGTCAGATGAGAACATCTCCCAGTTCCCTGAATCATGAATGAGATCTACCTGATATATGTTAGAGCTCTGATGCACTAGCATTCTACCTTAAGGAATTCCTGGTGAGGGGTCTGTATTGCAGTATGGTAATAAATTTGGAAGACCAAATATGTGAAATCCAATTCTTCAATGGAAAAATAGCAAATAATGGACATTTTTGGTTTGGTCGGTGAGCAGAAAAGATAGCTTGGCAGGAAAAATGCTCAGTCTTTTTATCCACAGTCCTCAGGTTTTTTGACCAAAATATTTTTTTCTGAAGTAAAATGTTAAGCTCAGTTTTAGCATTTTTGTTTTCAAGTTTAAACTCAATTTTTAAACAAATGAATGCTAGTTTGATGGAGATATGAGTAATTTGTTTAAAAATTGAACACTTTACCATAAATTAAAGAAAAAATCATTTGATTCCAAAAATTTTGGATTCCAGCTTTCTGTAGAGTTTTGTTGCTGAAATCCGGAATTAAATTAATCCTCATGTCCATTATTAATTTCCAGAAATACTCTACATGGAGTCCCATCCCATGAATTTGGGGAAGCTTCATACATGAGTTGATTTTGATCAGCTCACAAGCCACAGTGAAGGCACAGTAGGGTAAAGGGTATAAATACAGCTTACCTAAGGCTCTTTAGGTGCCTTGTATGAAAATCATTCACTGATATGTTTAATGACAGTTCTTCAATGATATTACTGAATATTATGGACCTACTAATTGAAACTAAAAGGAATCACAGAATCAAGAAATCACAGCATAGTTAGGGTTAGAAGGGACCTCTGGAGATCATCTAGTTCAACTCCTATGTCAAGGCAGAGTCACCTAAAGCAAGTGACACAGGAACTCATCCAGGTGGGTTATGAATGTCTCCCGAGAGGGAGACTCCACAACCTTCCTGCACAGCCTGTTCTAGTGCTCTTGTCACCCTGAACATAAAGTTCTTCTGCATGCTGAAGTGGAACTTCTTGTGGTTTAGGTTATGGCCTTTACTCCTTGTTCTGTTGCTGGGCACCACTGAAAAGTTTCTGGCACTGTCCTCTTAACAGCTGCCTTTGAGATCTTTATGTGTGTTGATGAGATCCCCTCAACAGGCCTTGTTCACGCAGTCTCTCCAGACCCCTAATCTTTGTGGCTCTCTGCTGGACCCTCTCCAGTAGCTCTTTGTCTTTCTTGAACTGTGGAGAACGGGAGAGAGTTAAAAAAATTAAAAGTGAACCTGCAGGATTCACAGTATTTTTCAAAGAATTACTTAAATTTTGCTTGGATGAGCTGTCCTGCTAGCTTGCTTCTTCAGGAATAATTTGTTGTTCAGGAATAATCGTTTAGGAACAATTTTTTTTAAAAAAAAAAGATCCTGGCATTTATTTACGCTCCATGCGCTTTCATGTCTGTGTGAATGATCCGGTTTTAAAAAAGTAGTTTACAGGGCATAATATGTGTGCATAAATATTTTGCATGTCAATTCATTTATGCACTTCAATTTTTTGTGTTAGAGTCATTAAATACAAAGGACAAAACTACACTTACCAAGTTGCTGCATTTAGGTTTTATCATCTCTCCATTGTAGGTATTCATGCTGGTTTAGTATGCCTATGCAGCAAGCATTCATACCATATAAATTTGCTCTTGAGCGTTTTATGCTTTTATTAAATATTCATTACATGAGATGGATGGTAATCATGCAGTCTGCTGCTTTTAGCACACTGAACCACCAGCAAATGCATTGTTTGTTATGCAGAATGAGCCAAGGTTTATCTCCTCTACTGAAACATGTCAGAGGCCTGGATGTGTTGCCATCAGTGTAGTGGTGTTCTGCATGTATGACTGATTTGAATAGCATAGACTACTGCAGGAGGTCATAAGCAGAAGAACAAGAGAAGACAAATATGCCTAGGGACTTTTCAAAAAGCCTGTGTCCTCATACCTGCATTTTGCATGATCAGTCATTTACTCGTCTCTTAAATTCACACTGTTACTGTTATTTCCTTTATACATTTATGCATATTTTTGAGGTTTGTTCTGATGGTATTATAGACACATAGAGAGAGGTATGCAGCTGTTCTGGAGTTTTAGTTTATTCTTAAGAATGATGAATTTGACATCCTCAGGATTTCATACCTCCATCCTTACAGTACACAATTATCTACAGGTTTCCATTGAGATTTTACTAGCTTCTTATTAGCTAAACAAATAAATATTGACATTTTATAGCTCTAAACTCTGTACACCTCTAGTGTAATGCCAGTGTATGTGTTCATCTGTAAGACCTAAGGGAAACCATAATGTCCACGTATGTTTTTCTTGCTGTTCTGATGAGACTGAAAGCATAGCTTCTGCTATTTGTGTTTCTTAGTCACCTTCAGGATAAACTAAGGACCATAACTATATGTCACACACTGGCTAGTAAAAGTACATCCCAGAAAAAAAACCTATTTGTTTACTGATGCATGGTAACTTGCTCTCCACTGTGGAGCTATATAAAGCCTTGAGGTAGAATCTTAAATGAATGGTTTGTAGCTTTGGTTTATTCAAGACCTTAGGCCAGAGGAACTGCAGATATCTAGGTTACTGATTCTTTTTGAGGTGTCATGATTTTAGTGAGAGCTGAGAAGGAAAAGATCTGTGTTTTGACTAGAATAATGCTTTTGTTTGCATGTTCACCTGAATGTTATATACTTAGTTATGTTTCAGATCAGATTGCTTAAATACAATTAAAACAATTGCTGATGCAGTATGTTTTTTGGGTATAGTCATACACACAAAAATTCTTTAAGAAAATAGTTTTAAATAAGTTCACGGTAAATCTCGGTTATCTGTTTCCTTCATGGATTTTAAGTGTTTTAAATTAATTACTTTTTGATGCAGTGCTTACACTAATACTGTTAAATTAGCTATGAAAATAATTCATGCAAGTTGCCTTTAATTATGTGCCAGCAATTTATTTCTGTTCTTCTCTCCTTTTGTTTGTCAGGAAAAGAAGAATATATTGCAACATTCAAGGGATCAGAATACTTCTGCTATGATTTATCTCAGAATCCCATACAGAGTAGCAGTGATGAAATAACTCTGTCTTTTAAAACACTTCAGAGGAATGGACTGATGCTTCACACAGGAAAATCGGCTGATTATGTCAATCTTGCACTGAAAAATGGAGCTGTCTCCTTGGTCATTAATTTGGGCTCAGGGGCCTTTGAAGCGCTGGTGGAACCTGTGAATGGGAAATTTAATGACAATGCCTGGCATGATGTGAAAGTAACCAGGAATCTGCGTCAGGTAACAGTACAATGGATACAAGAATAAATGACTTTGTTATGAGTAAATGCTTGATGATTTGAAAATTGCAGAGTGTGACATTGGATGTTTAGCAGGCATTTGGTTAGTTTTTTATTTGCACAAGGAAGGATATTCCTGCCACACTTGAGCAGGGGCATATCTAGAAAGTAGTAGGGCAAGCAGCTGTCTGAGATAGTATCAGTTAGATGTTCTAAAGACAATAGGTATCACCCAGGTGTTTCTCCAGTACCACTGTCTGCCCTTGCAGCCTTGCTTTAGTCAGAGTTCATAACTTTCTGAATTGTAACTCTTTGATTAAAAGAAATGTTTAGTATATTTTTCTATTTTCAAAGTGGGCAGTAAATTTGTTACCAGATAAAGTTTATGCACTGTGTGGAGGCATCTTGCATGTCATGCCACATTTAACTAAGTCAAAGCAGCAGGAAAAAATATCTAGGAAATTGCATGCTTACTCTTGGTGATGTGGTAGGGGGTTTGTAGATCAACAGTTAAATTTGAAGTTGTGGTGGGAGGGGTGAGGGTAAAGACAATACCATGTATGTGTGTATACTGTATGTGCTAACTAAGTGTACAATATATGCACGTATGTGGCACTAAACTGTTATGTA